TCTGTTCTTCAGATGATCTCTAAATTCAGGTGGGATATACTCAAGGTCATATTTTGGCTCTCATGGACTTGTTTTCATTTTCTTCAGTTTCAGTTTGAATTTACATATGAGTAATTGATTATTTGTTACGGAATATTCATACCTGGCTTTGTTTTGACTAATGATATGGAACTTTTCCATCAGATCTTTCTGCAGATGTAGTCAATTTGATTTCTATGTATTCCATTTGGTGAGGTCCATGTGTATAATCATCTCTTATGCTGTCTAAAGAAGTATTTGAAATGAACAAATCATTGATTTTGCAGAATTCTATCATGCGATATCCAGCATCATTTCTATCACCAAGGCCATATTTTCTAACTACTGAACCTTCCTCTTTGTTCCCAACCAGTAATGATAAATACATCGTGATTGCATGTTTGATCAATTTTATTGAAGAAGTTGGTAGAATTCTTCTATGTCATCCTCACTGGCTTTAGTGATTGGTGTGTAAATTTGAATAATAGTGGCATTTACTGGGCTTCCCTGTAGGCGCATGGATATTATCCTATCACAGACAGCGTTGTACCTCATGACTGATCTAGATATGTTCTTTTTGACAATGAATGCAACACCATTCCTCTTCAATTTGTCATTTCCGGCATAGTAAACCATGTGGTTATCAGATTCAAAATGGCCAATACCAGTCCATTTTAGTTCACTAATGCCTAAGATATAGATGTTTATGCATTCCATTTCATTTTTGACAACTTCCAAGTTTCCCAGATTCATAATTCGTATATTCCATGTTCTGATTTTCAATGGAATATACCCCAATTAATGGTGATCTCATTTTGTCAGAGTAGAACTATGCTCCAGAGAGTTTTTCATAGCAGATTTTTCAGCAACAGATTACCAGGGCTTCTTTTATGGCACTTCTGGGTGGACTTAAATCTCCAACTTTTGGTTAACAGTCAAACAAATTAATCATTTGCACCACTCAGGGACTCTGAGATAAATTATTATTGTTGTTAAGAGCTGTAGAGTAAGTTCCAAGTCACAGTGACCCTGGACAGGGGTTCCGAGGAGTGGCTGGTGGGTTTGAACTGTTGAATTTGTGGTTAGCAGTCCACAGCACCACATCAAGATAAATAGAGACAGTGAAATATTATTACTATAACTTTATAGTCTTAAAATTGTTTTGAGTCTGATGAAAAGAGATGGAGATAAGATTTTTATGATTCAGTAGTGAGTAATTTTTATCATGACTAACTGCTGATGTCACACCTGTAAAGGTAGAAGTTTTGTAACAAAAATGGGAGAGTAGTTAATCTTACAGTCCAGAAACAGAGGACCCTAGGACCATCAAGGGAGAAGAGCACAAGTGGAATGTGGGACCTTATCCAGAGAAGCAGCAACACCAAAGATGGAGTCAGAGATGGGGACATGGAGAGAGGGAGCAGCTGAGGACTCTAGCTTCAAGGAAAAAGAGGGACTGAGTGCTGGCCACTAGGAGGCAGGCTTGCAGAATGTGCCCTTTGGTCATTTAAATTATTATATATTCCTGAGTGTGTTTGTATATATCTCCCCACCCTCCTAAAAAGAAAGAAAGAAAGAAAAATTGAGGGAATGGAAGCAAATACTGTTGAATGAGGATGAACAGAGGAGACTGTACCCGCTACAATTAAATGATGGTGTAAAGCTGATGTTCTCCCATGTAAACTATCACTCAGTTCACAATAAAAATAAAATAAAATAAAATAAAATTGTTTCTGCAGTTAGAAGTTTGAATTTGTTAGTTGTATCTGTTTCTTACCAGCTCTAGTAACTCCCTTGGTGGCCAGTTGTAAGAGGCCCTTCTTTTTCAATATGAAGCTGGAGCCAATAAAAATGCTAGAACTTACGGCCAGTGCCAAGCCCACATAAAGGCTGTATTTGTTTTCTGCATTTGCAGAGATACTCAAGTTGGTGATGCTGGAATTCACATCCGTGTAGACGGCAGGAGAAGCAAACAGCTGTGAAACGTTCATGATCTCACACCAAGCCTTGGAAGAGTTCGGACAGACCAGAGATAGTATATAACCTAAAGGGGGAAGCAAAAAAATGAAAAGGAGATGTATTGATGCTCATCCTCGTTCTAAGAAACACAGATTTCAGTGGATGGCACTACTTTCTTCTGCAAGATAAGCCACCAGCAGGTGCTCCACAGCACTGTAGACAGGTGCATAGGTTTTTTAAAAAATGTTTTAAAATTTGTTTAGCTGTCCATATTTAAAAACTAAGAGATTTCATGTGAAAATCTGGATTCCTCTAATAAATTAGAAGATTTGGCAATATCTGATTCTTTGTTCCAGCAAAGCAGCAACCAGCAGGAACTGCAAGTCCACTTGGCTTGCCTATTTAACTCACAGCCATCCAGTAAATTCCAACTCTTAGCGACCCTGTAGAACACAGCAGACTGCTTCTTAGGGTTTCTTCAAGAGCCTTGTGTTTCTCCTGAGGAGTGAATTGTGGGTCTGAACCACCAATCTCACAATTAGATGTTCAGTGTTTAGCCCACAGCTTATTCAGTGAGGTGTAAATCATGCATTTGAAAAACATGTTTAAAAGTGGTCTTAGTTTTCTATGTCAATTTCCCTGGAGAGAATGAATTTTCAGCTCTACAAATCCATCTTTTCCTGAAATAAAATAGAACTTTCGTTTGTCTGAGTAGAACTATACTCTGTAAAGGTTTCAATAATTTTGGGGAATCAATTGCCAGGTCTTTCTTCCAAAATGCCTCTGAGTGGACTTGAGTTTCTAGACTTTTGGTTTGCAATCAAGTATGGGAACTGTTTGTACTCCTCAGGGGCTCCAAATAAAATAGAACCTAATAGAATATGATATAGTCTATTAGAACCGAATAGAATATATAATCTACTATAATAAACGTTGTTGTTGTTAAGGGCCATTGAATCTGTTCTGACTCATAGCCACTCTGTGTAGGGTTTCTGAGGAGTGGCTGGTGAGCTTGAACCACTGACTTTGCGGTTCAAACTGACTTTGCAGTCCAGCACATTAACCCATAGTGTCATACCAATAAGCTATTTTTTTAGAATAAGACTCACATAAACATGCCAATTAACTGATCTAGCCCCGTTATTCTGTGTGCCCTGAAGGTTTGAACACTATAACCCAAAATGAGAACATTTTACAGGACTCCTGGTGTGGTGCTGTAGGATCAGTGCTGGACTAGGAACCACAGGGTCAGCAGTTCAGGCCCACCAGCTGCTCCTTGGAAACCCTGTGCAAGGTCACTATGAGTCGGGATAGACTCAATAGCACTTAACAACAACAACAATAAGAAACTGCAGTGCAGTGGATTCTTGTTTAATATGTCTCTTCTACATATGTCTTTGTAACTGCCACCAAATGACTTTTTCCTGATAGGTCTGGGGAAGAGAAGGTGGGGGAACACACTGATAGGGTGATATGGTTTGATTATGAATGCTTGTTAACAGGGCTGTGATTATAAAAATGTGGAAATCTAATGTAGGGTTTGGTTGATTTTGCCATCCTGCTGGGTATAAAATGAACCATCTTGGTGATGCTGTGTGCTCCTTTGCTTGACTAACTAAGCTCACCTCTGTCTGACCTTCAGTTCTTGGGACTTAAGTCACCCATCTGACCTGATTCACCAGTTTCCACAGCCTTGTGAGTCAACAGCTCAAGTCAACCTGAGTGAGGAGAATCCTCCAGGCTGATGACTGAACTCTGGATTTGGGACTTGCCAGCCTCCACACCATGTGAGCCATTTCCTGGACTGCCTGTGAGTTCTGTGAGATGAGACGTGGGGGGAGAATACCATGGGGAGGAGTAGTGGTTGATATCAGGGATTGTGGTTTGGGACTGTTAACCACAAGGTTGGTGGTTCAAACCCACCAGCTGACCCTTGGATATACTGACTCGACAGCACTTAGCAACAACATAGTACTTTCTTAGACATTTGAGATGTCTTAAACTTCTACCTTATAGGGACCAGTCTGGGGCTGATCCTTCTAAACGAGATTATTGTTGCAGCTACTCTCTGGAGTTTGTGTTTCAATTGAAAAGATAACAACAAGGTAGCATTGCAACTAGAGCTTCTGTGTTCTCCACTATCTTCATTAAAGAACAACAAAAGACTTATTTTTCCATCATGAATTACTTTAAACAAAAAGGGATCGTGGGAGGCTGTGTCTGGCTCCCGCTCTCACAGCCATTGCAGTACGTTGAGCTCCATAGAGACAGCGCAGGGCCAGGCAGAGCCGGACGGCACTGGGCGGACTCTGTGCCTCGCGGACGGAAAAAATAATAATAACTAAACATGGGCAAAGGAGATCCTAAGAAGCCGAGAGGTAAAATGTCATCCTATGCATTTTTTGTGCAAACCTGCCAAGAGGAGCACAAGAAGAAGCATCTAGATGCTTCACTCAACTTCTCAGAATTTTCCAAGAAGTGCTCAGAGTGGTGGAAGACCATGTCAGCTAAAGAGAAAGGAAAATTTGAAGACATGGCAAAGGCGGATAAGGCCCGTTATGAAAGAGAAATGAAAACCTATATCCCGCCTAAAGGGGAGACAAAAAAGAAGTTTAAGGATCCCAACGCACCCAAGAGGCCTCCTGCGGCCTTCTTGTTTTGTTCGGAGTATCGCCCCAAAATCAAAGGCGAGCATCCTGGCCTATCCAATGGTGATGTTGCGAAGAAACTGGGAGAAATGTGGACTAACACAACATAACAAGCAGCCTTATGAGAAGAAGGCTGCTAAGCTGAAGGAGAAGTACAAAAAGGATATCGCTGCCTACCGGGCTAAAGGAAAGCCCAATGCAGCCAAAAAGGGAGTCGTCAAGGCTGAGAAAAGCAAGAAAAAGAAGGAAGAGGAGGAAGATGAAGAAGACGAGGAAGATGAAGACGAGGAGGAAGACGAAGAGGATGAAGATGATGAATAAGTTGGTTCTAGCGCAGTTTTTTGTTTTTTTTGTCAATAAAGCATTTAACCCCCCTGTACACAACTCACTCCTTTTAAAGAAAAAAAAAAAAATTGAAATGTAAGTCTGTGTAAGATTTGTTTTTAAACTGTACAGCATCTTTTTTTTTGTATAGTTAACACACTACCGAATGTGTCTTTAGCTAGCCCTGTCCTGGTGGTATTTTCAATAGCCACTAACCTTGCCTGGTACAGTATGGGGGTTGTAAATTGGCATGGAAATTTAAAGCAGGTACTTGTTGGTGCACAACACAAATTAGTTGTATATGGGGATGGTAGTTTTTGTTGTTTTTTTTTTCATCTTCAGTTGTCTGATGCAGCTTATACGAAATAATTGTTCTGTTAACTGAATACCACTCTGTAATTGCAAACAAAAAGGTTGCAGCTGTTTTGTTGACATTCTGAATGCTTCTAAGTAAATACAATTTTTTTTATTTAAAAAAAAAGGATAGTGAAAAATTAATCAACTACAATGTTAGAAATCACTGAAATATCAGTTTTATATCTCAAAAGTACCAAGAAGGCATATGAACAACAACAAAAGACAGTTTGACTAAATTATGTCTTAGGAGCAAAAGTTAAATAAATGAATCTCCTTGGCAAAGCTGTCTGAGATCTTCTGGATTTAGTGCAAGCAAAGTTAAGAAAAAGCCATAAAGTGCAAGACTGCAAAATGATAAAATAATTGAAGTCAAGGTTTTCATGATTACTATTTTACCTGTCTCTATAATTAGATAATGAACCAACTTTGCTTCAGAGAGACAGAGTAAATTCTGAATTAAACTTCTACATATTCTAAGAAAAACTATATTATGTCAAGGGTATATGATAATATATTTTGAGGAATTTTCAGGCATTTTGCTGAATAAACTTTCAAATTGCACATTTCGAAACTAGCCATTTTACAAAAATCTTCTTCTGGGTAGCGTTCATCTCATCTAAATACGAAGGATGAAAAGTAATTGGAGATATTTTTGCGAGGAAGAATTTCAACTACATTCCTTTATGAGAGAACATCTGACTTGACTTTCTAATGAATTCCATAGCTGCATTCATGTCTCTTAGTATGTATTCAATATAACCATTCCAAAACTTCATCTCTGAAATCATTGTGGGTGGGCCTCATTCCAGGGAAACAATATTCTTTCTAAGCTGTTGTCAGATCAAAATGTTTCCAACATTTATAGAGGGAGTGGGGGCGGAGGGTGGCAAGGGAGATCAAATAATCCCTGCTGCATTTTACAAGTTCTTATTCTAACTAATGGACACAAAGACTGCAAGTTTTATGGCAGTTAGATCAAATTATTTCTTAGAAAAGGCTATTGATCTTTGAATTAAATTTTTTATGATTTGGAGGCATGTTACTGAGGAAGCCTATGACAGATGTGAGTGAGGGAAGAAGGAGGAGTGAATGGTGGGCTGGATGAGAAGTGGCATGGGGCTGAGGGAGAGAGATGGGTACAGTTGTGTGTGGAGGCAGAGACTTTGGAGTGTTTCAGGGAAATCAAAATCAGAGTTGGTTTATTGGGATCTGAATGAGAAAGTCATTATCCAGTGAATTTAATCCAGGCTTTATGCACCATAGAAAGAGAAACTCTAATGCATTTATTATGTTTCATTTTAAAAGACAAAGCCAATAGCCCTTAAAGTGATGGTACCAATTTACATCCTTGTCAACAGGGTACCTGTATTATTCCATTAATGCTGTATTACTTGTTGCTGTCATCAAGTGGGTTCCAACTCATAGTGACCTTATGCACAACAGAACAAAACACTGCCCATATCCGCTCCACCCTCATAATCATTAGTATACTTGAGCCCATTACTGCTGCCACTTCCTTTTTCACTGATTCTCCACTTTGTTGTTGTTGTTGTTATTGCTGTTATGTGCCGTCGAGTTGGTTCTGGCTCATAGCAACCCTGTACTGGGTTTCCAAGGCTGTAAATCTTTACGGGAGCAGAATGCCTCATCTTTCTCCCGTGGAGCGACTGGTAGTTTCAAACTGCAGACCTTAAGGTTCGCAACCCGATTCGTAACCACTACGCTACCAGAGCTCCACTTTACCAGGCATGATATC